GCTGTGGTTGTGGTGGTTGAACACTGAATTTGACTGAGCTTCTTGGCAGCCAAAGCAAAAAGGGACATACCGTGGTTTCCAGAGTTCCTGTTGTTCAACCACAGGTGGGTTAACTGCTCATCAGGAGAAAAAACTTCAGGGGTGCTGAACTGTAGGAGGGATTGACAAAGACTTTGACCATCCTAATGGGCAGTGTCTTCAGAGGTTAAAAAAAAAAAATTTCTGGGCAGCCTGGGTGGCTCAGCGGTTTAGCGCCACCTTCGACCCAGGGTGTGATCCTAGGGACCTGGGATTGAGACCCACGTTGGGCTCCCCACGTGGAGCCTGCTTATCCCTCTGCCTGTGTTTCTGCCTCTCTCTCTCTGTCTCTCATGAATAAATAAAATGTTTAAAAAATTTCTTAGGATGGCCCTTTTATTTCCTCTAACAAATGTTGAATGCCTGATATATTTTTAAAAGATTTTATTTTTTTATTCATGAGAGATACAAAGAGAAAGGCAGAGACATAGGCAGAGGGAGAAGCAGGCTCCCTGAGGGGAGCCTGACACGGGACTCCATCCCAGGACCCTGGGATCACACCCTGAGCCAAGACACTCAACCACTGAGCCACCCAGGTGCCCCGAATGCCTGATATTTTATCACATATGAGTGAAAGTGCTTCCCCAGAGGCTTTACCTAATGGTGGCCAAAAGTGTTGTTTCCTGGTCACCTAACTTGATGAGGGGAGTGATGGGGGTGGGATGGGGGAAGGTTAGGATATCACTTGGGATTCTTGTTCAAACACTTCTTAGTTAATTTTTGAGTGTTGTGGCTAATGTCATACTATTGGACCATGTATTCATTTATTCAACAAACACTTAGGGGGGCTCTAAGGATGTTCCATGTTCCATGCTCTCAAGACATCCTCAAGGGAAATAGACAAATAGCCATTAAACATGATGGAAGTATGGTAATGGAGGTCTGTGGAAGTATGGAAGCAGAGACAAAGAGTCATGATTTCTTTGTAGAAATGGGGGGCCCAGGAATGGCTTCCCCAGGGAGGTGACATTGGAGCTGGTCTTGTGGACAGTGCAGGAGTCCTCTGAGTGAGATGAGTCCTCCAGGCAGAGGTGGAACTGGCTGGAGTGGCTGAGGAGCAGCTGCTGTAGCAAGGGAGCCCAGAAGATTGGAGAGGATCAACAGCAGCTCAAAGGGACAGTCAGTGATGAGGACTCAGGGGATAATTACACCCCAAAAACTAAATGACAGCATCCCCTGGCTTATGCAGGAGCAGAGTAGGAGCTGTGGAATCCTACCGAAGGAGAGAGTCTAGGCTTGGGGCAAGCCCTGCAAGGTGGTGGTGTAGGAGGTACGGATAGCCAAGGGGAGCTGAGGGCTGGTTTCCAAGTCCCCTGTCCTCAGAGCCCCTGCTCTTGAGGGAAGTTCACTCTACCTTCTGGCAGCCAGGGGTGGTTGGGAGACTGGATTCTTGGACCTCTTACCACATGTGTAGCACAAGTTAAAGATTTTTCTCTTGGAAAGGTGATCCATACCCGACTGTCAAAGTGACTAGACAAACTTTGACAATGAATTTATTGACTAAACCAAAATCAAATACCAAAAAGACCTTTCCAACAGGACATCGAGGAAATTAAGAGGCAGAGTAACCCCACTGGCTACCATCTTGCAATTTTCTTAAATCCAGTTGGCTCTGCTTTCTTGGTGAGGGACATAAAGACTTTCCCTTGCAAACCCAGCTGCCCAGCCTAGTGCCTAGGAAGGGGGTAGGTCTGGCAGTGGGTAGGGAGGGGCGCAGGGGTGCTGACTCTAGGTTGAGATTGCTGCCTGGCCCGCCTAAGAGCCACTCATTCGTTTGTTCATCTGTGTGTTCACTGTGCAACTCTTCACAGGTGAATCCCAGCTCTATTGCCTTTCCGTCTTCGCTTCGTCTACTTTCACTTCCCCCAACTATTGGCATGTGCTCTGTTTCTAGACGGCTCCTGTCCTCTTACCTTTGAGCTTTCCTCCAGCACTTATCAGCCTTGGGGGCCACGGATTCCTCAGACCCAGGTTATATACCACCTGCCCAAGAACCCTGTCCTGACCACTTCCCACTCCAGGGTCAATTAACGGTTCTGCACTCCTGCTCCTCTTGGTTAAAGCTTCCAGGGCCTTGTGTCTTTTCCCTCAGGGGTTTGTGGATGAAGGTCAGAGAGCATGTCTGGTCTGCAAAAGAAAGGCTCAATAAACACTGAACGTTCATTATGCTCAGGCCTCCACAAGGGTACCCAGTAGCATGGAGAGGAGGGAGCCCTGTCCTCTACCCTAGAGTCCTGGGACCTCCAGGAGACACCATCTTGGAAGAGATCCTTACAGAATTGTTTTGACCTCCTGTCCTTGCTCACGGCAATGCACTGAAGGAGCTGTTCCAGCGAGTTCCTTCTTTAGCAAATTAGGAGGCTAATGCCATGACCAGGTCCCATTCTATGGAGGATGAAATCTAGATGGTGACCTTTTCCCAACAGCTCCTTGCTGTGTGGAATGCAGACTTTGCTGGTCTGGACCTGAAGCAAGAAAGATATTCTCATCTCCACCTAGGATGCATATATTCGCTTATATGTGAAACAAAGATTTATAAAACAGGACTTAAGTCTTTCTGTGCATGAGAACCTTGGATATTTTCTGTTCTAGTTCATTCTGATTTCATTTTTTTAAAATATTGGCACTAGCAAATTGATTTCACATCTGTTTTCAGGTCAGGACTCACAGTATGAAACTCATTAGAGTAATTGTCAAGACTTTGGAGTCAGGTGGATCCAGATTGGAACCCTGGCTGTGGCACCTAGAAGGTGTGAGACTTTAGGCAAGCTACTTCCCTTCTGTAATAGGTCTCAGTTTCATCATCTGTAAAGTGGGGACAACGTAGAACCTATTTCATGGAGTTGCTGTGAGGATTAAATGGAGATTCAGGTAAAGCTCCTGACACAGAGCAAAGGGATCAATAAATATGAGCTTTTGAGATGGTTGTGAAGATTATGGTTCTTCTTGCTCTGGCATGACCACTTGGTGGGGCCAGCAGAGCAAAGGCAGGACTCTTGCTTCCTAAAGAATGGTAGTCAGGAAGGACTTCCTGGAGGAGGAGGCATTGGATGAGGGCAGCCGGATGACTGGAACCCACTCCCATCTTCACAGTGACCAAGAACCCTGCATGAGCATCCCAGGACCACTTGTTTCCTTTTGACGGGCAGGCTTGTTCCCAAGGATTTTTGGCTGGACCTAGAGCCAACCACATAGATGCCTTTGCCTTTCCCATTTAGGTCTCCAATCCACCTGGAATTGATTTTTGTGTCTGGTATAAAGTAAAGATCCAATTTCTTTTTTCCTTCTTGTTTCTGAATGGATAACTCGTTACCCCCGTACTGTTTATTAGAGTCCATCCTTCCCTGCTGATTTGTACATCACCTCTCTCATATATCAAGTTTCCATATATGCACAGATCTGTTTCTGGACTCGCTTCTGTTTCATTGATCTATTTATCTGTCCCTGTGCCAATCCCACGCTGTCTTAATTACTACAGCTTTACAGTGGTTCCGGATGTTCAGGAGGCGTGTCCCTCTCGTCCTTCTCCCTTAGAAGCCTGTGCTCTTCTCCACGTGTTTCAGAATCAGCCTCTGCTGGAGGTGATTGAGAGCCCCAGGAGCTCTGGACAAAGCTGTCTTCCGTGAGGCTCATGGCAGGGTGCCTGGGCCTGCAGTACCTCACGGACTCACTGCTGCCAACCACCCCAGTTTGAGCTGCCTGAGAAGTACTTCCTAATTCATATGCAGAGAGAATCACCAGGAAAATGCCTGGGTCTGAGTCCCCTCTGCCTGCGGCTTGCTGGGTGGCTCCCCTGCTTGCCTTCCCTGTGGCTCAGTCCTCAGCATCCTCCCCAGGGCACCTGCATCTTCTTTCAGGAGACTGCCTGCTTCCCTGTCCCTGTCTACTGAGGACATAGCCCTGGACAGACAGACATGTGGCAATGCCGGGGTCCTGGAGGGAACTGCTCACGCCAGAATTTGGCCCACACAACCAAATTCTTTGGCTTAGGTGTTTGCAAATATTTTCTTTACCGGAAAATAGGCCCAGGGGTTGGGTGGAAGAAAGAGACCTGGCACTCATGCTTCTAATTTCATCTGTCCCTGAGCGTGAAGACCCAGGGTCTGGAGACCATGCTGATGGTGGCTTGGATGCCAAGGACATGACTCATCACAAGCTTTAATTTCATGAGATGGCTTAAGGAAAGGAGCATGACTCTGGGCCACGCACACACGTCGATGTGGACTTGCTCAGTCAGATGCGTGCATCCCGTCAGCATGTAGTTGTTTGTGCACTGCCAGAACTCAGAAACACTTGCCAAACTGTGGTTCGTTTGGTCTCGTGTTGGAGGTTGGAGTGAGAGTCTTTAGTGGCCAACTCCCTGGACCGGGACTCTACCCTGGTGCCCGTGACAAAGCCCTCTTCGCCTTGGGCCTCAGTTTACTCATCTGTGAATTGAGGGTTTGGCATGACGATGTCTGACATTCCTCTTGACCTGGTGGTGTCTGTTATTCTGCATCTGTGGTTTCAAAGCTAGGAAATCAGAAACTTCTCTCTCTCTCCTCTTGGTGACGAGACTCTTATTTCCATTCTGGTTTTGGTTACTGATATCTAGGGAGATGGAAGAGGCTGTCAGTGGCCGCCGGGGCTGGGCACGTGGAGCCCACAGGCCACGAGAAGCTAGGGTGGAATCCTTGTGAAGCGGCGCTGAACCCTGCCCACCTCCTCACCTGGGGAGAACTGTCGAGCTTGGATTCCTGTCCTGTTCCACTGAACCGAATCTGCCTTCCCAGCACCGGGGGGCTTGTGAGCCCCTGTGGGCCTCAGCACAGGCAGGGACTAGCCCCGCTTGGTGGCTGAACCCCAGAATGTGGTGGTGGCATTTGGCTGAGGTGCTTTGGAGTCTTGATACTGAGATGTTTCTGTTTTGTTTCCTCTTTCAGACCACTGAGTATTCAGCGATGGCTTCGCTGGCTGGAGGGCTGGATGACATGAAGGCCAACCTGACCAGTCCCACCCCCGCCGACATTGGGAGCAGCGTGCCTGGGCCGCAGTCCTATCCCATTGTGACAGGTGAGGGCACCTAGGGTGGAGGAGACAGACAGAGAGAGAGAGAGAGAGAGAGAGAGATTGATGGAGAGAGACTGAGATTGCCTGCATGGTGGGAAGAGTGGCTTGGTGCTTTTGGACTTGACGGGCCATTTTTTGTTTTAATAAGGTTATGAGGTCCTGGAATTGGTCAGGCTGGGAGATGTGGCTCTGATGAGACATGGCTTGCTCTGAGAAAGCCAGAGGAGAGCAAATGCCTCACAGACTATGGGCTGGGACAGATGCCAGGGGAGGCCCAGGACAGAGGGTCCTCGGTGACTTCGGGATCTCTTGTGGGCTAGGGCCCGGTGTTCAGTTCCTCTCATGGGAAGAGCAGCCCTGGCTGGCAAGACTTGAGAAAGAGCAGATTTCTGGCAGACTGTCTCTGGCATTTCAGATTTCCAGGCAGAGGCTGAGTCAAGAAGGGCAAGAGGTTTAGGCTGGAAGGTGCCTGGTGTATGCAAAGTAGCTGTCTTTCTGGAAGGCCCAGGGCCAGCCTCTTTAGCTATCAGCAAAAAGATTAAGATTTTGGGCCCTGGAGACACACTGCTGGATTTGAACTTGCCCTTGACTAGGTCTGTAATCTTGGGTAAATTATATAAGAATTCTGGGCTGGGTTTTTAAAAATTATTATTATTTATTATTTTTATAGTTTATTTATTTATTTATTTATTTATTTATTTATTTATTTATTTATTTATTTATTTGACACACAGAGAGAGAGGCAGAGACATAGGCAGAGGGAGAAGCAGGCTCCATGCAGGGAACCTGATGTGGGACTTGATCCCAGGACCCCAGGACCATGCCCTGAGCTGAAGGCAGATGCTCAACCGCTGAGTCACCCAAGCATCCTTGGGCTGTGTTTTTCAAAAAGATCCCTAAAATGAGAATGATAATAGCACCTGACCCAGAGTGTTGTTGTGAGGATTAATTTGCTCATACAGGTGAGATCCTTAGACTCTCGTTATAGCAAGCACCCAATACAAGCTGCTGCTCTTATTCCTCTTCGGAGCCTTCTCATGGTGGCCGGCCACCATTGTTGGGCTTGGTGCTGCACAGAGAGCTTGACTAGAACGGCCGGGTTAGGCAGATACCTCCTCCTGCTCCAAGAGCAGTGGGATAGGATGGGGGGGACAGATTCTGGAAGTTTTTCCAAGCTGGCAGACAGGGAGCAGTCTCAAGTACTGTAGAGACAGATGAGGAGAGGCTTGGGGGTGGTGCTTGGGCCAGAGTCCAGGGGTTCAGTGGGGGATGGTAGCAAGATGTCCCTGTAGGCTGCTAGGCAGGACATGGTGGAAGTTACAGAGACAAGGGTCTTTAGAAGTACAGGAGGGCTATGGGTTGTGTCAGGGAAGCTGGGGACTGGGCTTGGGATAAAACCTTGGGGGAGGGGGCTGGGTGTCACCCAGGCACCAGGACGACGAGAATCCAGCTCTAAGACCTGTGCTGATGGTTTGGCATTGGGCCTCATGGGCTCAGACGGAAGCAGTGAAGGCCCTGTTTGCAGATCGTGCCAAGAGCCTGGAGGCAGCTGAGCCTGTGCAGGGGGGAGGTATCAGCACTGGGAAGGGATAGAGAGTGAGGAGCCTCAGTTAGAGTGAGGCACAGATATCCCATGAGGTCCTCTCCCCCAGAAGGCTGCAGTTGGCCCAGGCAACACGTCTGGGCATGGATTGGGTTTTCAGTAAACCTTTGACCAAACACTTGTTTGTATTTCAGAGTGAAGTCAGACTTATGCTTGATCTTTAAAAAAAAAGTTTTTTAGATATAATTCTAGCCTCTGACCCATTATTACTCTTTGTGTTGCTTTTAACTTTCATCTTTCCTAAAAACACATTAAATATCTGCTATAGGATATTAAAAGCACTCAGGTAGTGGATGGTTACTTTGGAAGAAAGATTTTCTGCCTTGTTCTGGGAAAAATAGAGAAAAAAGGCTCTTTCACATGCCCTTCCACACAGGTGTGTTTTCCGGGTGTTCATTGCTGAAGGAGTATTTTTGTGGAGGACCGCCTCGGGCTGTGAGAGCAAGATATGAGGTGGCAGATGAAAGCTGTTGGGAAAAATCATTATTATATTACATAAAAAGCTCTTACCATATCTAGGACCACTCGTGATCATGTGCAATTCTGAGCTATTTTATTTTATTAAAACATTTTTAAATTCAGGGGCACCTGGTTGGCTCAATCAGTGCAACATCTGACTCTTGGTTTCAGCTCAGGTCATGATCTCAGGGTGGTGAGATCTAGCCCCATGTCTGGCTCCATGCCCATGCCTAGCAGAGAGTCTGCTGGAGATTTTCCCTCTCCCTCTGCCCCTCCTTGCACTGCACCCCTGCATCCCCTCCTCCCTGCTCTTATGCTCTTGCTCTCTAAAAATAAATAAATAAATCTTGTTTAAAAATTTTAAAATTCGATCTATTTTTTAAAAGTTCACCTTATGTCTTGATTTTGCATAACCATATGCTTGATTTTGAAATATTAGAAGTATTCTAATTATAAATACAACCATTAGCTTTCTTGCTAGTAAACAAACAATAGCTAGCTAGAAAAATAATAGAAGAGTCCTTTAACAATAGCACCAAAAAAAAAAAAAAAACAAATGTTGAGGAATAAACCTCACTTTAAACTCTACTAAGGACATAAAAGAATAAATGGAGAGATATAACTTGTTCTTTGGCAGGAAAACTCAGTATCATAAAGATGTCAGTTTCCCCTAAGTAATCTACTCATTCAAAGCGATCCCAATGAAACTAGCAGCAGAATTTTTTTTTTTTTGGAACATGTCAAGATGATACTAAATACTGGAAAAATAAGCACTAGAGGATAGGTAAAAATTCTGAAATAAAGAAATGAACAGAAGTTGTAGCCTATTTAAAGACATTATGATAAAGCAGCAGCAATTAAAATTACTTTGAGGGTTTTTCTTTAACCTATATTTTTCTTTCTCTTTCTTTCTTTCTTTCTTTCTTTCTTTCTTTCTTTCTTTCTTTCTTTCTTTCTTTCAACTCTATGCCCAATGTGGGTCTCAAACTCACACTCCAGAGATCAAGAGTCATTCACTCTCCTGACTGAGCCAACCAGGTACCCCTAAAACTATTTGTAACTGAAACCAAAGTAAACAAACAAATATAACAGCATAGGGAGTCCTTAAATAGACCCAAATATATGTGATGTTTATAAATGTAGTATTTCAAATCAGTAAAGATAAATCATTCAGTTAATGGTATTGGGACAACTGGGCTTGTTGGAGACATACCTCACTTTGTATATCAAAATAAATTCCAAGTTGATTTAAACTTTCAATGTAAAAAAAAAACCACAATAAACTGGAAAAAAATGAGGGATACCTTTTAAATCTTAGAGTGGGGAAGTCCTTTTAAAATCTGTTCCAAATATAAAAGACAAAGAAAAAATCAAATAAATGGCAGTTAAAAATGTAAGTCTTTTGTCTGTATGTAAAAACATCCAAAAGACAAAGAATAAAATTGGAGAAAAATATAGAACACAGATGACAAAAAGCTAATTTCCTTAATATATAAAGAGCTTCTAAAAATGAATAAGGAAAAGATCAGTAGAAAAAAACAGGTCAAGAATATGGATAGGTGATTCATTGGAAAAAAATGCAGATGTCCAACAGCACATGAAAGATACACACCTGACTCGTGATTCTAAAACTGCAAATTAAAATAATCATGAGACACTTTAAAAAACCCATTAGCTTATCAAAGATTGAAATGTTTCTTGAGGGCCAGTGTTGGAGAAGATATGAGAAGCAAATTATTTTCATACACTGTTACAAATCAGTGTAATCTGTTTTGGAGGGAAATTTAGCAATATCTATCAGAAATTTAAATGCACACACCTACGCTCTAACCCAGAACTTTTATTTTATTATTTTATCCCAGAACTTTTATATGCAGGTCACATATTCACATAGATACACAGTAATATCTCTATCTGTATAATAATTATAGATTTATTTTTTTTTATTTTTTTTAAGATTTTATTTATTCATGAGAGACAGAGAGAGAGAGAGGCAGAGACACAGGCAGAGGGAGAAGCAGGCTCCATGCAGGGAGCCCGACGTGGGACTCAGTCCTGGGCCTCCAGGATCATGCCCTGGGCCAAAGGCAGGCTCTAAACCACTGAGCCACCCAGGGATCCCTAGAATTATTTATAATGGCAAACAAATGGAAATAATTCAGTGTCCGTCAATAGGAGCTGGCTAAATTATGGCTCCTTCATAGCACAAAAAAAACCATACAACCAATTATACCAATTAAAAAGAATTAAGTAGAACTGTCTCTGCCAAAATGAATTAATATATATTTTAAGTAAATAAACCATTTGTAAAATACTACATGAAGTATGATCCCATTGGTGTGAAAAAATATAAAGGCCATACACACAGAGGTACAGATGCACACAGGCAGGTCAGAGGCTTGCATCATGAAGATTCAGTAGAAGATTCCCCAGTCCTTGCCCTGCCTTATGAGGCACTGTGATGTTGGGGTTCTCTGCCCAGTTCCACCCAGCATCCCCTTGGGATAGCAGATAATAACAAGGCCCCTTTACCCTCCTGAAATTAAGTTCATAAAAACTATTTTAACATCTGATTTCAAATAAAATCAAAATAATGCCTTCATTATGAGATATAGGAAGAATGAGAGTGAAATTGTTTATAATTAAATACTATGTACCTAGGTAAGTAAATACTCTGCATGTTTGTTTGTTTATTTATTTATATTTTATTTTAATTTTTCTCTGCATGTTTAAACTGCAAGACATAATGAAGTAGTTTGGGGCTTGCCCCGTGCATGGAATCACTGTGAATGCCGCAGCCCTGAACAGGCTTAGGGACTCATACTTACTTGGACTGTGAGTGTGATTTTATGAATAGGTAAAGAACTCCTGGCAAAGTTCCAAGTAAAATAAGGTACAAGCTTTGCTTGGTTTACACAGTTGGTTTACACAGTTGCATTCC